GCTAATAAGGCTGGATATCATCATATTATACTTACCACCATCCAGATCCCATCATCGTTCCCCAAGAGTGTGAAGTGATTACTGACAGTCACGATCAACTGTTACTGATATTAAGCTTTTGTTTTACAGTCCTGAATAAGCTAAAAGGAGCTTGTAGATACATATGAAGCAGAATTAATTTTATTATTAAAAGGGGCATTTTTTAAGCATTTTCCCTTAGGTTCACTATTAGTCCAGGGCTGGTTTTGGACCAAAATTGTCTCATTGTAAGGAACATAACTTTTAAAAGTAATGCAGTGCATTGTTACATTATCTATCCAGAACCTTTATAGTATAATCTAGTTGCCCATGATATGTTCCTTTAAACAACCCTAAAAGCGACAGTCCACTAAAAATGAAAATTCTGTCATCATTTACTCACTCTCATGTCATTGCAAACCTGTAAGATTTTCTTTCTTTTGTGCTACATAAAAGAAGATTTTTGAAAGAAAACTAGTAACGAAACAGCAAAATTTAGTTCCCATTGACCCAATATTTTTTTGTTCATACAATGGAAGTCAATGGGAAAGTAACTTCATTTGGTTATGAACATTCTTTAAAATATCTTCTTTTGTGTTCTGCTAAAAAAGAAAGTCATACAGATTTGGAATAACATGAGGGTGAGTAAACGATGACGAAATTGTAATTTTTGGGTGAACAATCATTTTGAGATTGAGAGAGAGACACATGATCTCTCCTCTCTTCCACCAGTTTTCCAACTGCACATTGTTCTAATAATGGCTGCTATATGGCATGGCTTCTCATTAATCCTCGTTGGTTAGCACATGGCTGACAGACTGTCACCAATCTCTTTATGTCTTCTCAATCACACACACACACACACTGCTGGGATCAATACCACCTTGTTGGCTCTCAGGAGACAAAGCCATTTGTCTGACAGCTCTGCCAAACCTAAGGATTTTGGTCACCACCTTTTATCAACACACATACCACACATGCTGTCTCTCACGGTCTCTCCATTCTTTCTTTTGGAAAAAAACAAAAAACAAAGAATGAATCGTTTCCATAGCTGTGTGATACTTACATGAACAAGAGTGGAGAACTCGTTTACTAAACCATTTAACTCCAGTAGGTCCTAAACAAACATACCACAATAGTCACACACACCGAAAGACTTGTATTCAAATATTTTTATGTGTCTGTAAGTGTTTGTGTGTATTACCTCAGCTAAAGAGTCCCAGGACTCAGCAGCATTCTGTTCTGGAGGGATTTCAGGCAGTAGCAGCTGTGTTTGAGTGACAGCGGAACCGGGCAAACCTGTATCACCATCACCTAACCCATCACATGAAAGTGAAAATGCTTGCAAAAAATTTTATAATAAAAACACATCTTGAATAACTTCATACAACATAGACATACTCAGAAACATACTGTGCAATGTCTCTGAGGCATTGCTGATAGTTCCGTGAGTGCTGATAGTTGGAGCATCTGGCTTATTGATTGCATCCGAGTGAATCCGGAGGAACTCCTGAATGGCAGCGGAGGCTCGATCTCTGATTGGCTGAACAAGTTTCTCCAGAGCTTCGGCATCGGCACTGTGGACCCGCCCACACAACTTCTCCATCTCCCGCAGGTTCGATCGCAACTGCTGCAAAGAGGAAAAGTGAAAGTCTGTGATAACAGGATCCATGGTTTCATTCAAATCCTCTATACAGTATTTTCCTTCTATACAGATTTGACTTGTTCAAGTAAACAAAAAAAGTATAACAAAATGGAATATATGACACTGTGAATGGTTGTCACAGTTTAACATCTTAGACCCTAGGATCCAAACCAGTACTGTCAAATTTTAAAACCTGAAACCCAAAATTGTTCACAATATTTTCTCTCCATTGCGAGTACAACCAGATACTCAGATATCCATATCCATATTTCATCCATTGCCAACATCTCATTAAGTTCTCAGTCAAAATTGCGCGTTTGTAGAAAAAGTTTAAAAACCAATGATTTCTTACTGCATGAACCTTACAGTTTTTCCTGATTACTGGAAAGGTTTTTTTTTT